CGCTGGAGAGAGCCGCTAAACTCTAGGTCTCTTTCTTCAGGGAGGTCCCACTTACGAACCTAGACACCACCCTGCCAGGCATAAAACTGAACAGATATTTTTCCCTACAAGTCCAAACTCCCAGTCCACCCTTTCCCCCTCGCATGGTGGTCTGAAGTTCTGCCCCTTGCAGAGCACAGAGTGTTTGGTTTGTCCTAAGAGACTTGGGCATAGTGTGGACTGCCAACCACCAGGGCGAAATCTGTGACTAATGAGGAAGAAAGAGGGTGTGAGAAGAAAGGGACACTTGGGAGGAGGTGCAGTTCCCTGGTTATGACTATGCCTGGCCAGTGGGGGTTATGCCAGTCCCCTGGTTATGACTATGCCTGAGAAAGTGTTGACTCTTTGTTTGGGCTGTATCTGGTGGGACAGGGTGCAGAACCCCCAGCTCTGACAGTACCCACAGCAGGAGAGTGGTTGCTCTGTGTGGACTGAGTTTGGTAGACAGAGCTAGTCTCTGCTAGGCCTGTGAGCAGAGGCTTAATAGGCATGGACTGTGACCTGAGAGCAAGGGTGTGGTCTCCTGATTCCAACAGAACCCTTGAGCAGTGGCTTACTGGGTATGAACCAAGTCCTGAAGGCTAGGGCATACTCCATTGCCTCCAGTGGGGCTGGTGAGCAGAGGCTTACCAGGTGAGGACTGAGACCTGTGGGTAGAGTGTGGTGCCCTGACTCTTAACAGAACCTGCAAACAGAGGCTTGCCAGGCAGTGGACTGAGACTAGCAGGCTGGGCATGGTCCCCTGACTCCAACTGGTCTGGCAAGCAGAGGCTAGCTGTGTATGAACTGAGACCAGAGGGCAGGCCCGGTGCCCTGACTCCAACAGAGCCTGCAAACAGAGGCTTGCCAGGCAAGAGGAGGCGTGGTCCCCTGACTCCAACTGTTTTGGCAGGCACTACTCCAGATCCTACTCCAGAGGCTAGCTGTGTGTGGACTGAGACTGATGGGCGGGGATGTTACCCTGGGCTCCAGCTGGGCCTGTGAGCAGAGAAGCAGACAATATTGTGGACTGAGTCTGGCAGGTGGGAGTGTGGATCCCTGGCTGCAATTGTGCTTTGAATCTCTTTGCTTTGAATTGTCGTTGAATCCCTCTCTGTTGGGCAGGGTTTGCAATGCCAGAGACAATTTGGTTGGAACCCGTGTCTGGGGCTGTCTACTCTGGGACATTCTGAGGTTGACCTTTGAAGTTCTGTAGTGGAAAAGAACTGAAGGGTGGGGGCTGAGCACCACAGCTATTTGTATCTCTTCACAGTTGAGATTTAAATATAATAGGGTGGTTTCTTAGGATAGGGTAGAGGTTGGCTGATATCAAAACAGAGCTAGCTTGCACTAGCTCACCAAGTAGGTCCTCAGAGTCTCCAGCCAAAACTCTGAAAGGGGCCTTTTTAAGGTTGTAGGAGATAAGCCATAATTACAAAGCCTAGAGCTTTGGTAAGGGGCTATCTCTATTACCTGGGAACCCCAATACAATCACCCTACCAGTTCTAATAACCAAACAGTAAAAAATAAACATGGTGCAGACTCAACAGAAGAATTCTGGCAACATGAATAACCAGAGTAGATCAGCTCCCCGCTCCCCAAGAAATGACAAAGGAGATACAACTGAAGGTGAAATGCATAGACAAATGGCAGCAATGTCAGAAACTGAATTCAGAATATGGATTGCAAATAAGATAAATAGAATGGAAGAAAAGATGGAAATTGAATTCCAAAGATTAGTTCTCAAGTTGTCTCAAGAAATCAATGAACTCAAAGCCCAAGTCACCAAACATATGGACATAATGAGAAAAGAGATAGCGGAGCTCAAGGAAACAAAAAAGTTAGTTGAAGAGCTCCAAAATTCAGTAGAATTTCTCAGTAATAGAGCTGACCAGGCAGAAGAAAGGATCTCTGAAACTGAGGACAAAGCTTTTGAACATTCCCAAACACTCAACAAGGCAGACAAATGGAGAGCAAAAACTGATCATTCCCTGAGAGAATTCTGGGATCACTTCAAAAGATCAAACATTCGTTTTATAGGAATTCCTGAAGGAGACAATGGTACTAAAGGCACAGATGCTTTACTCCAAGAGATTTTGGAGGTGAATTTCCCAAACATTAGAAGAGATTCAGAACTTCAGATAGCAGACAGTTTCAAAACCCCAGCAAGACTTAATCCAAATAAAGCATCTTCTAGACACATTGTGATTAAGTTTGCCAAAGTTAAGATGCAGGAGAAAATTCTGCAAGCAGTCAGACATAAGAAAAGCATCAACTACAAAGGGAGAAATATCAGAATAACTGCAGATCTCTCAGCTGAAACGTTTCAAGCCAGAAGAAGATGGTCATCAACCTTCAATCTCTTAAAACAAAACAACTTCCAGCCCAGGATCCTCTATCCAGCTAAATTGAGTTTCATTTGTGATGGAGAAATCAAACACTTTAGTGGCATAGACATGTTGAAGAATTTTGCCATAACTAAACCAGCTTTCCAGGAAATTCTCAGACCCATCCTCCACAATGACCAGTGCAATGCTCTACTTCCAAAGTTAACTCATTCAGAATTTTTTTTTTTTTTTTTGCTTTGTTCTATTTATTTCTTTTGGAAGGCAAGGGAGGAGGTAAAAAAAAGTTTGGTTTTGCTTCAAAGAGCTTTTCTTAAAGAGTGGTGATTCATTTTCATTATACATCAATATGGATAGACATTGTTCTTTTGGTTTCATGACAATTAAATTCAAGATAATATGTGTACTATACATGCATGTTTTTCTGAAATCCAGTGTATTTGTTTGTGCTCTTCTTCATATATGGGAAGAACTGGCACTCTGGCTTTAAGAATAAATTTTAAAAACCACAAATCTAATTTGTCTTTGATTTGGTTCTGGGCTAATTATTAATGAGCCATTCAGGAATAATGGCTTCAAACCTTTCATCATCCTGTGAAACTGCAGTTAATTAAGAGTCCACTGATTGTAAGAACTACACCACCAATAACAAAAGGAGAGAAGAATTCCAAGTCTGCATGCCAAGTTTGGAGCAAAATATCTATAATCTTCTCACTTTTGTATTATTTATAAATAGGGGACAGGGGATAAGAATTATATGAATAATGTTAAATGAAAATGCATACAGAATTGGGAAATGTTTTTCATTAAATTTGCCACTTACTCTAGTTCAATAAAATGCTTGTAAAGAAAATAACCACATAAGGCAGAAGACTAGTTACATTGCTGCTGTTCAGAACTTCTTGAGAGCAAAAGAATGAATACCAATCATTCTGGTTTAAACTTAATTATTTGTCTAAAAACATGTTATTTTGTAAGTTGAACATCTATGTTATGCCTTGAAAATTCAAAGCAGAAAAGTAAAATCACATAGAAAGTCAGAAACTTCATCAATATGTCTAGACAGATGTTTGCTTGTAGTTTTTAGTATCTAAAGCTTTTTTTCCACACATGGAGCAGATACCCTTTTTGTAGGCACAGCCCTGGCAATAATGAGAACCTGGTTGGTGTACAGAACTTTTACAAATTCTGCAAGTGGAGAACTTATTCTTTCTGTATGGATCAAATCTAGAGAATTTTTAAAGATAGAAAAATGTACACTTGCTTTTTTTGAAGTCAAGGCTTTATTTTCATTCAGCTTTCTTCCACCACTTTCTGTGGTATTCCTGGCTCCATCCTTCCATGTATCTGGAGTGATAACAGTACCAAGTTTCTTTTCTTTTTTTTTTT